GCCATGTCTCTGCCTGTGTGCCCACAGGGCACAGAACAACAGGAAACACCTGCAGGAAGCCTTGGCATGCACTTCATGTACTTCTCCCAGAACCAGTTATGTTCAAATAAGTGATAATTTCTAGAATCTTAGGAATGAGCTGTTTGCCCTTCCCTAATTTTTATTTATTATAAAAATGTAGGTACTGATTTTGTGAATTGTCTATTTTTCAAAATAGAGGAAGTTTGACTTAACTATAAAAATTACACTTGGAAGGACTTTCCTTTTTCTATTGAATAGAGTCCTTAAAATTTGAGATAAAGATCCTGAAGTGTAGCTCTTCACAGTTGATGTCTCATGGCGGGGATGGGGAAGGACTCAGTTTTCTTTAAGGGGATGGCCAATGGGAGTCTGACCGTGCTCCATTGAGTGCATGGGCAACACAAACTGGACTTGGCATATTTTTCTTTTGGGGGGGGCACAAGAGTGGGAGGATAGACCTGGGAAGAATGGGAAGCAAATGTGATCAGGGTGCATTGTATGAAATTCCCAAATAAAAAGTATTATGTTGGGGGAAAACAAGTACACTTGGAATCTATTGCAAGCCTTTACTTGAGGGAGACTAGGCAATGTCAGCCCCCTCCTTCTAAGGTCCCAATGACAAACCAAAGTTCAGTTCCACCACAGCTAGCTACTCCCAGGGAGCCATAAGTGTATTGGGCTTACTTACAGAGCATGGGTGAGGGGTCATTTGGGGCAGGCGCATGGGTGTCCCTAAAGCACCCACACTCTCAGGTCAGCACCTAGCATAGATGATGACTTCCTCATGAATGCATAAATGGAGTCCCTTCCCCTCCCTTCATCATCCCCAGCCTATGTACTCTGTCCCCACCTCAAGACCCCAAAGCTACTTTCAATTAGGACAGAATTGCATACAGCTGGTTAGGAGAAGTGGTTTATATGTTTAATTTTTGTCAAGTTCACACAAAATAGAGTCATTTGGAAAGAGAAGAACTTTATTGAGGGAGTGCCTTCACCAGATTGCCTATAGTCAAGTCTATGGGACAATTATTATAATTACTGTTACTATTATTATTATTATTAATGTTGGAAGACCCAGCCCACTGTGGGCAGTGATGCCCCTAGGCAAGTGGTCCAGGGTGTATAATAAAGCTGGCTGAGCAGGCCACAGGGAACAAGCCAATAAGCAAAGTTCTTCAGTAGTTCTGCTTCAGTTGCTGCCTCCAGGTTCCTACCCTAGCTTCAGTGGTGGGCTATGAATGGTAAACTGATCAAACCCTTTCCCCCCTAAGTTGCTTTTGGTCATGGTGTTTATAACAGCAACAGAAACCTGAATGGGATGGTTAGATCACTCCAGTGAAGATTCCCTGACCCTCCTCACCCCTGTGAGGGAAGGTCAACAGTAAAGAAATCCAGCTGTGATGAGCTTTTGCAAGCAGGCACAGACAGACTCCTGAAGAGGGTGGCTGTTTGGCTTGGAAGATGCTGCTGTATTTTTACTGATCCTCAAATTATTTGAGATTTGGCCAGCAGGGGGAAAACAACTAAATATGTCAAAATATAGATAGGTAGATCGATTGAGTGAATGATTAGTTGGTTAATTTATTAATAGACCTCAACCGGGACAGATTTTGTCCCATATGGAGGAAGTTTACAGTGTCTCATGCTATTTTAGGTCTTTACAATGCAGGTTAGGGAGGGAGGTATTATAACAAAATCCTACTGACTTTTTTGGTTTGAGGCCACAGGTGCTGCTGAACATTATACAGTATATTAGAATTATCTGGTCCCAAATATCAGTAGCACTAAGCTTGAGGAATGTCTTTGTGAATACATAGATGGGGGAGTGATAAAGTACCCATAAGAAAATATTGGCATTGGGACGAAGGATACATGGGTATTTTCATGGAGACTTTGAAACTCTTCAGATTTCTATAAAATCTGAAGTACAATCAATGGCTGCTGAGATGAGGAAATCAGTCTTCTTCAGGGATGGGCTCCTTGATAGGTTATTTAATCCCAAGTGATAAGTCCTAAACACATGCACATAAGAGCCACATTGAATGGGTTCATTGCATTGCTATCCAGCACCAGTAGATAGTGCTTTGAGTGGCGGGGAGCCCTGGTATCTATCTGGAGATAGATGTCTACCCCCGGGGTTGATGCCATCCCCTCCTTGTGCATCGCAGAATCGGGAAGAGAAGTGCACCAATGTGCACTTGGTAGTTTTCATGAGCCAGGGGGTGTGATAAGTTTTAGGGATTTAAAAATGTAAAGCACTTGGTCATTTAACCTCAGTTGTTTAGCATGTCAATGATTCTTTTCTATGTAAAATAGCAATACCAAAAATTAGTGGATTAAAGCATTGGTGTATTATTTCTCAAAATGTATGTGTGTGTGTGTGTGTGTGTGTGTGTGTGTGTGTGTGTGTGTGTGTGTGTGTATGTGCTTGTGGAGGCCAGATGTTGACATTGAGTGTCTTCCTCGAACTTTCCACCTCATTTTTTTTTAGACAGAATCTCTCCCTGAACTTGGAGCTCACCAGTTCAGCTAGATGAGATGGATGGATGGCAGCCCAGGCATCTTCTCATTTCTGCCTCCACAGCACTGAGATTACAGGTGCACATTGCTGCACCTGCCTTTTCTATGCTGGGACTCCAAATTCAGGTCCCCATATTTATATTGCAAGCACTTTACCACGGTGATATCTCTCCAGATTGACTTTGTGGGTCTTCTGTGCTCATTGAATAGTTCTACTCCATGTGCTGTTCAGACACCCACATTGTTGCTGCCAGCTGGGAGCTTAACTGGTCCAAGATAGTATGACTCACAATTCTTGCTGTTGGCTGGGGCCATTGTTTCCTCCCATGACTTCTCATGCTCTGGAGCCTCTGGCCATGAGATCCTCCAACAGGAGGGCATGGTTGCTGCCTTCCTATGGCGTATGGTTTCTCAAGGTCCAGTCCTAAGTCATCCATTGCCACTTCTGTCATGTGCTGTGGGGAGAAGCAAGCTCCAGGGCCAATTCAGATCCAGAGGCAGGGGAAGAGACCCCACCTGTCGGTGTGAGGAACGGTGTGGGAACACAGGGATGGAAGGGGCTGTTGCAGCGGTGTTTGTAAAAATGGCCTATTTAGTCACAAGAACAGAGTTTTGAGCTGGGAGGCTTCTTGACTGTTAGTTGACTCAGGCTGTGGTCTGCATATTTGGATCTCCCTCAGATTTAATCACCAAGGAGATGGTTTTAGGTATTAGCCTTAGGGGTTGATTATGTCCTGAGGTTCTGCCCTCATAAATAGATTATGGCCTTATAAAGTAAACCCAAGGAAAGTTCTATCCCTTCATGTGAATACACAAGGTGTTATCTGTGAACCAGAAAATAGGAGCACTCTAGCAACCAAATCCATCAGTGCCACAATCTTGAATTTCCTGGCCTACACACACACACACACACACACACACACACACACACACACACACACACACACCACATCAGTCCAAATGGACCACAAAAACCCCCATTCCCACAGGTCTGGAGAGATTGCTCAGTGGTTAAGAGCACTGGCTGTTCTTCTGGAGGACCCAGGTCCAGCCCCCACACGATGGCTACAACAATGTGTGACTCCAGTCTTGGGATCCACTGCCCTCAGGCACCAGGCACACATGTGCAGGCAAAACACTCATATATATTTAAAACAAATAAACTAATCACTGGGAAGTCTAGCCCCTGGCTGGGGCCAGTACACCTGGTAGAGGAACCAGGCTTAGAACCCCAACTCCCCTGGTTGGTATCAGCAGCAGCATATGCAAATAGTGCCCCCTATAGCAGAGGATACCTCCCTGGAGAGTCTATGACTCAAGGTTGTCCCCCAAGGGTACAGAAGGAAGGATCTGCTTGGCCTTCTTTGATTTCTGTGCCTGAAACCTACCTCCCTATTCCCGGGCCAGTGAGCAAGGATCTTTGGTATTTGACCTCACTGACTGGCACTAACCAGGCAAGCCCTCCTCATCACTGCCTTTTCTATACATTCTGAGCATGAGATGATGCTGAGTTTTACAACATGCATGAAAAGTAGCTGCCTGCACTCCAGAGAACGTTAGAAGATGAAATCCTGCATGCTTATGGAATGTGTTAGAGTAGCCCACCACACTTTTGTGGCTTTTCCTAGGATCTACAACAGTTGCTGCAAAGGGAAATGTTTGCTTGACTTGAAATGGAGCAGGTGATCCATACATGATTAATTCCCCTCAATGTAGCCATAAACCTGAAAATAATTAAGAGGTTCCATTTTCCCAGATTGTTAGATGCTATTTTGGATTATCTGCAGCCTGCTGGGTGGAGAACACATATTTATTTTGCATCAAAGACAATATTTGTTATCTAGTATAGTTCTGAAATCTCCCCAACCCTCGTGGGAGATAGCTGGCTTTCCTTGAGGACTGAGGTAAATGAGGAGGATAATTATTTGATGTATGACTCCTTGAAGGTCACAGATTTTCAAAGATGTAGAAAAAAAAATCCCTTGATTCCTGCTGTACTATTGATCAATAAAATCTTGGTTTTTATTATTATAGCATTTAATGTATTTGAAGATTTAAATAATATTTGAGTAGTATGGAGAATTTGGAAAGCACAAAACAAAAGATGAAATCAGAGCCCTCATGTACTTGCATTTTGGTTGAAACCACTTGTAAGGTTTGGGGATAAGCTCAGTGTGCGGCACTTGCCTCACACCCCCAAAACCAAACACACTAAGGCCCACTGCTAACAGTGTTACCATCCATTCTTCCCATCAGAAAGAACAAGCAGGTAATCTACAGACTAGTGTCCGTACATTTACACAGATACAAAGGCATAGGTGTATATATAGACACTAATGGCTTTCTTTAAAAAATAAAGCCACCTTGTAAAATAACTTTGCAAATGATTCTATGTATGTGCTGTGTCTAAATGTAGTGTAACATGTTTCTGTCATTAAACATTCTTCTTGCATTGACAGGACAGTGATATTGAAGCCCTGGTTGGGTGTTTGGAAAACGTCCTGGGTTGTACCTCTCAAGGTAAGCCAGCTTCTTCAGATTCCAAACTGTAGTGATCTTTCTGCTTCTACTAGCATAGCCAAGGAGTGGAATGCTGTGGAGGAACCTCACAGATATTCTGATCACTTTCTGCATTTTACAGAGGAGGAGGCTGAGGCCAATAGAGACCATAACAGCTAGGACACTCGAGGAAGAACCCTTTATTATTATTACAAGTGACTTCCAGTCTCCAAGGATGAAGTCAATGACATTTGGTAGTCCTTTATGATCAAAATGGTAGTCTGGCAGTGCATAATAGGTTTAGAGTCCCTGGAAAAGGAATCTCCCTGTCCAACTGAACCCACCAAAGCAGATTACACTCAGTGAAGCTGAAAGGCCTGTCACTCTGAAGGTCAGTCAGTTATTGGAAGAGATTTGGTCTGAAAAACAAAGCTGAAATGTCTTTAGCGTTGTCAGTCTCGATAAATAGGATTGCTGTGCTTCAATGATAAAACCCTATTTTTTTTTTGCTTCTTCTATTTTTTTTAATTCAAAAAGCCCAGCTGTGATAACTTTCAGCATTCAACAATAGATTTTTCACAAAGAGTTCTTTAAGATCCTAGATGAAAACCAATGAGGTTTTTTTCTTTCAAATTTTGAGTTAGTGTTTTAGGGATTTTAATTATAAAAACAAAAGCAGTATCTTCAAAGGAGATGGCAAATACAGCGATCAACGATGACATTTTTCTGTAGGGGAACAGTCACCACTATGGGTTAGGAGCTTTCTGCATAATCTATAGCCTTTTTCTGGCGTTAGCTACATCTCCAGGCACAAAGCCATAGTTACAAACAGCTCTCTGACTTTTATTTCCTGGCCACCCTGTGATCTGATTTCCTGCACATCAGCAATGCCTGTTAAGGGCACCTCACTCCTGGGAACTGTCTAGAGGACCAGGGAGGCTGCCCTTGGCCAAATCATTTTTCCTCTGTATTTCAGTTAGATAAAACCTTCAAAGCAGATTTCTCAGGCAGGTTTTGGCAAAGGGGTGTGCACTGAGCAGCGTGGCTCAGAAGCTACATTTCTCCTGTGTTTTTCCAGAAACTCATACTGTGTCTGGTGAAAAAGAGGCCCCTAGCAAGCATTTTCAGTTATTTTAGGAGCAATTAGATGCAAACCTTGTTAGTTTACCAGCTGCAACCAAAATAGTTCCACTCTTACCTGTTTTACAAATTGGCTTTTCTACCTAAAATTGTGTCTTGAAAAAGACAGACCCCTCTACAAAAACGCAACCTGGATTGTGTAGGTGATGTCTAATTTCACTTCTAGGCTATATAATTTTATAGAAACAAGCATGGGGAGTGGGTAAGAAAAACACACATTGATCTCTGCCTGGAGCCCCACTAAGATGACACATGTCAAGAGATAAAGCTGACATAAACCTACAGGAAAAAAAGAGTAGAAGAAAGGTACTGGTAAATTTGAGAAGTTAGAAAGTAAATGGATGAATGGTGACTGATTTAGAAAGCAAGGAACTCTGAAAGTTAAGCTCCTAAGATGTGAGTGGGAGGGAGGGGGATACCTTTAGTGTGGAGAAGCAAGCCAGCTGGTCCCAAAGAACCCCAGGAAGACTCAGGATTTAGCCTCAGTTACTCTGAGAGCAAGATTGGTTGACAGTATGAATAAAGAATAATAAGACTCCAGGTCCTCTTCCCCCCATTAAAACTGCCAGGAACGCCTTCCCACAGTAAGACACAAATGCCCCCACTAGATTTTATGGGGGCCATTAAGTGACAGTGGCTCTGAATTTAGGGACACAAAAGGCATGCGTTATTTACCCACATCACAGATGTGATGAAAACAGAAGGAAGCTCAATGTCGATTAATAAAAACCTCAAACGCCGCTTCACTTACCTACTCCTTCCAAATGCTGGCAGAGCACCATGGATCCATTCCAAGGACATCACTCAGAGCACTTACTGGACGAAGGTTCTTGTGAATGTGGATATGCTCTCAACAAAATGGCAAAAAGCAGACCTGCCAGTTGATAATACCAAATTTACAGAAAGAGCTTAACATGGCTTGTGATGTTTAACACTTAGATTTGAACACATAGTCAGATGGAATATGTATGTGTTCCCTATATCCCACATATATAATGTTCTTCATATCTAACAAACAGGAGAAAAGTCAAGACAAAAGCACACAAAATCCTCAGGAAACATAATGTAAGGAAGAAAGGAAAATTATCCTATCACTAAATTCTTAAACGATGTTAGAGAATCCTATAGAAACAAACAAAAAAGGAATAGCCATAAAATAATAAAAAGCTATTAAAATTGTAATTCAAGAGCAGGAAGGAAAATTCACTAGAATTAGGAATAATTTCCAGAATGAAATAAGCAATAAGAAAAAATCAATCAAAGTGATTTAGAATCTAATTAAAGAAATTTCAGGAAGAACAGAGAAGAACAAATTGATAGGTCTAGAGAGAATAAGACAGATCATGTATAAAACATCAGGAAAAATAATGGTTTTTCATTTTTTCAATAATACCAGAGGCTGGAAGATAATTTGAGCCTAGAATTTTTTATCTTCTCAACCACTAATCAAGTATAGATCTTTAAAAAAATCTATCCAAACCACCACCATCAACCTCATTCCATCATGAGAGAGGAATCGAGCCACTTCCACACAACAACTTCAAAACACGTCTCAAAAATATCTATGTCTCATGACTTTTTAAAGAAGTTTCTAGAAATCATGCTATATGAAAATATAGCAGTTGATTGAGAAAGAGTGAGTCAGGAGCTACAGGTGATGGGGGGGGTCAACACAAAAGAGCGCAGGACTTCAGGGGGTGATAGCAAAGGAAGGTCTCTAGACGGCAACCGAGCTACAGACCTGGAGAGCAAGGTATTCAACTGGCCTGGGCCAGAGAACTTCAAGGTGGAATGGGCATGTGCGAAAGAGATGTGGAACTAATGATAACCCACTGAGATGGATTAGAGTTCCTTTGGAGTTTAGGGATGGATTAGAGAGAAGTAGCCAGAAAACAAAGTAATGTGAAAACACCAAGACAATTATTAACTCCTGGAAAAACAAAACAAACAAACAAAAAACTTAGAAAGGAAATATAACCTACAAACATTGTATGTATGACATTTATTTGGTCATAATGATTTAAAATTTTGATTATTTAAAATTTGTGGTATAACTTTATTGGCAAGGTAGAGGAAAGAGAGAGAAAAAAGGAAGGGAGGAGAGAGAGAATGGAACAGGGAGAGAGAGATGGACAAAGGAAAAACAAAATTCAAATTCCCCAATGAAGAGTAGAAGGTTCATAGATCGTATAAAACAGGAAGCTAAAATAAACATGTGATGTAGAAAAAAGAGCAAACAATAAAACACAAAGATGTTGAATATAGTTGATTTGGGGGAGTGGAACTCACAGGTTAGTTAGGAAAATTTTTTTCTTCAAATTGTTAATTTTGACTTTAAAAGTACTATGTACATGAATTCATATAAGTTAACTTAAATTTTTAAATCATTTTATGCATATGAATGCTTGGCCTGCCTATATGTCTGTGTACCATGTGTGTGCTGGTGCCCACCAAGGCCAGAAAAGGTGTCAGATCACCCAGAACTAGAGTTAGGGATGGTGTGAGCAGCCATGTGGGTGCTATGAATGAAACCCTGGTCCTCTGCAAGAGCAGCCAGTGCTCTAAACCATGGAGCCATCTCTCTAGCCTCATGTTGCTTTTTAAAATGAACATAGGAATAAACATGAGCTTGCAGGTATTCCTTCAATACACTGATTGCATTTCCTTTGGATATACACCCAGAAGTGAAATAGCTGGATCGTAACCATTTTTAGTTTTTGGAGGTACTTGCATACTATTCCCCATAACAGCTATAGTAATTTACGTAAGTATGTACAATTAAAATCATCATCAATGCATTGGAAAGTAGAGACCAATTCTGTTTCTTTCCTCTAGTGAACCTGCTCTTAAGCCTGGAATAAGACATTTGGACACCTTGATTACTAAGATTATAGTAAACTTAAATGTTTGTTTGTTTGAGACAGGATCTCTCTATGTAGCCCTGGTTGTCCTGGAACTTGCTATGTAGACCAGGCAAGCCTCAAACTCACAGAGATCATCTAAACTTTTGGTTTAAATTAGATTGTCAGGGAAAAGTTACATACAGTCCAAAGTTCTAATAGCCCATCTCCAAGTTCTCTAATTGCAAGGCTGATTAAGGTCATCAAAGCTGGATGTTCCTGCATTAGAGTGCCCGAGCATCTGCAGAAAGTAGTTATAAGGCATTTCTGAGTTTGCCACAAACAAACTGCTAAACTGCTTGCTGCCTAAAATTACTTCTCATGACTGGTAACTTCCTGTGTGTTTGCTTATGGTGTGTCTCTGCTGTTGTGATAAAACAACCTGGGGAGGAAAGGGTTTATTTGGCTCACCCATCCTGATCACAGTCCACCACTGAGGGAAGCCAGTCAGGAACTCAAGCAAGAATAGGCAGGAACCATGGATAAAAGCTATTTATTGGCTAGATTCCACATTCATGGTCATCTACCTTTCTCTTTTTTTAATAAAAAGGTAATTAAAATGAAATTACATAATTTTCCTTCTTCCCTTCCTCCCTTCAATGGCTATATACCCACCCCTGCTCTCCCTCAAATTCATGGTCACTTTTTCTTCGTTAGTTATATATAAGTATAACCATGTAAATATATAAATACAATCTGTTGAGTCTGATTAGTGTTGCTTGTATGTATGTTTTAAGTCAGACCACTTGGTATTGGGTAACCAATTAAGGGGGTGCAGTGAAAATAAGCCCCTTTCGTGTTATCATGTCTATTGATATTGTCGTTGTTCAGGTCTTGTTTAGGCAGGTATATTGTTCAGGTATCATAGATGTAGCTTCCCTGTCATGTTATAAGACATTCTAGACTTTCTAGCCCTCTGGTCTTATAGTCTTTCCTCCAGGACCACCTGCCCCAGGTGGCACTGCCCAGAGTGAGCTGGAC